ATAAAAGTCGTACATATTCATGGTATACCATGTAATGGTAAAGTTTAAATCAACATTTGTCATTTCTTTGTGGTGAAAACTTTCAAAACCTCTTCTTCAAGCTTTTTGAAATGTACATTAAATAATTGAGTCTGTGGTTACCATACTATGCAAGAGTTATGGTTATAATATTGAGAACATAGAATATTTGGAAAGTTTTATCTGATCATCATATATACATACTTTTATATTCTAAATACTCTGCATTATATTTGTGATAGAATAACATTCTAGTACATTTATTTACTTCAAATTCTCCAAGTTTTACTGGTTATCAGTTTTTTCCCCTTAACTATAATACTTCAGTGAACCAGTTGATTCTTAATTATATCCAGCTTTTAAAACAACTAACCCAGAATTCCATGCTTATTTTAGGCCTTTCGTGAAGGATCTAGAAAGTCATCAAGAGTTAAGGTAAATACATTACATTTAAGGAGTTTATTTAAGTGGCTGCTTGTCTTTTTGCTCTCTTCATTGTGCACCATTTCATCACTTATCTTACAAGAAGTGGGACCTTAGAATTCTAATTGAATTAATAAATCACTGTTGTTGTTTATTAATACTGTGGAAACATTAATCAGAGGGGGTGGTGGCAGGGTAGGGTGGTATAAGCCTATAATTTCAGCAACTCTGGAAGCTGAGGCAGGAGAATTGCAAATTGGAGGCCAAATGTGGTAGCTTAGTAAGACCCTGTTTCAAAATAAGAAGAAGAAAGCCTGGGAATGCAGCTTAGTGGTTTTGATCCTCAGTACCCCCTCCAAGTGTATATTCATAATTTCGAATAGTAAAACTGGAGTAATTAGAATTTTATTTATCACTGCCTTTTATGTCTCCCATAGTACTTTATATTCGTTTTCTATACACATGAATACAGAATCATATTTGGGAAATTGAGATTTTACTTTTGCATAGTTTGATTCTTAAGGTAGTCAAGTCAGCTGTACCATAAAAGCATGAGTCTCACTATGTAAATACAAACTAGTCACATGTACCTTAAATTAATTAGAACACAGTCCCCTTGCTGAGAGCAAAACTCTCTTCTTTTGGCTTCTGATATCTAGATTTTTGTTGGGTCGCAGAGGTAACTATATATTAAAGCTTTCTGGGGTAGGTAGTAAAGGATAACAAGTTTCTTTTTTAAAAAAATATTTATTTTTTAGTTGTAGTTGGTCACAATACCTTTATTTCACTTATTTATTTTTATGTGGTGCTGAGGATTGAACACAGAGTCCCATGCATGCGAGGCGAGTGCTCTACCGCTGAGCCACAACCCCAGCCCCAGGATAACAAGTTTCTTAAGTAGTTGAACATTAAAAAGGATGTGGGGAGTGTGTTATAGTATATTTTTTGTCCCATGGTATGAAGCATAATAATTATTCGTTGTGTCACGTTTCTAGAAAACACATCATGAAACTATCATTTTTATCTCAAGAATATTACAACATGGTGTCATTCAGCATATGCAAGTCCCACATTTCATAAAATATTCTTTATATGATAAAGATGAAGATTTATATTTTATTCTATTAACTTGAACTTTAGGAATTTTCTCTGATAGAATAAAGAGATCTGAAAAGTTTTTTGATTAGTTACTGGCAAATCTTATTATCTCAGTACTAGGCTTCATGAGGAAGGAACATTTTTTATTTTACTGAAATACTTTCCTTTAGTACATAAAGAGGTGAGTTAGGAATGCAAAAATTTTTCAAATTCTTTGTGAATATTAGAAAATATATTTTAACTTGGTCATGTTTGAAAGTCATTACAATTCAAATAAATAATTCTGTAGTAAACTTTATAAAGTTCAGGATATATAAAGTTCAAATGTAGTAGGATAATTTCTGGTCTTTTTGCTTGGATCAACTTAGAAAGCTAAACGTTTTCCAGTCCAGTTTATATTAATTTTTAATGTATATTGCCATTAATTCTGTGTATGTTTGTGTATGTAACTACTTAAGTTCAAACAGTAATACTTACTTTGCTGTGATTTTAGGGTTCAGCTCCAGAAATTGATCCTTCATCTGATGGTTCAAATTTTGGATGGGAGACAAAAATCAAAGCATGGATGGATCGATATGAAGAGGCAAACAATAACCAATATAGTGAGAGTGTCCAGAGGGAGGCACAAAGAATAGCTCTTAGATTAGGCAGTGGAAATGATAAAAAAGACATGAATAAATCAGAATTGAACACCAACAATTTACTCTTCAAACCTCCTGTAGAGGTAAATATATTTTCAAAAAATTATAAAAACCCTTTTTCATGCTATATATCTTCAGTTAGACTGAAAGCAACCAAGTGTAATTCATGTCAACATATACTCTGATTTTAGAGCCATATACAAAAGAATAAAAAAATTCTGAAATCTGCCAAAGATTTGCCTCCTGATGCACTTATCATTGAATACAGAGGGAAGTTTATGTTGAGAGAACAGTTTGAAGCAAATGGATATTTCTTTAAAAGGTATCTTTATTTTTTCCTCACATGTTCCTTTTTTTGTAGTTAAATATTGTATTTATGGATATTTAGATGCTCTGATTATATGTACTTTTTGTTTCCTGACATGATCATTTCAGTATTAAAGTATAGTGTGGTTGACTAGTGTGACTAATATAACTTTTGAACTGTGATAACATTCACCAAAGGAAAACACAAAGATGTTTCTCAGTTTCTTACCAATCTTTTCCTTGTTGAAAATTTTAAAATAGTTCACTTGAAAGAAAAATCAAGGGGCTGGGATTATAGCTCTGTGGTCGAGTGCTTGCCTAGCATGAGAGGGGCTGGATTCTATCTTCAGCACCACATAAAAATAAATGAATAAAAAGGGTATTGTGTTCATGTACAACTACAAATATTTTTTTTAAAAAGATAAGACCAAAATAGTTTGGATCTATAGGATATTAGTTAAGAATTCTGATTACCTGATAGTACCAGGAATCCTTTCTATAGTAGATCTGTGCTAATTCCTTGTAACATAATTACTACCACCTGAAAATACCATGGTGACCACAGGCAAATCTCCTTCCCCTTTTTTTAGACAGTGTTAGATTTGATACCTATATTTTTGCCACCACTTTAGCTTTGGTGGTATTGGAATGGTTTTGGAGGCCTCTTATGTCATTTGGGATTCTTGTGGAATTAATATCTTTTAATAGTCATCGTTTCCTTGCCAATACATGTCTTACAATCTTCATTTTTTGTTTGGAACTTGAGTTTTAAAAGATGCCTAAGAATCTTTCAGATTTTATCTGAAATTCGAATAGTTTTAAATATACCAAGAAATATGGACTTTAAAAGCATGGAATTAGGAGGTGAGGATGGGGCTCAGTAGTAGAGTGTTCAAGGCTCTGGGTTCAGTCACTAGTACCAACCCCACAAAAGCATGGAATTAGAATCTTTCTGTAAAGGCAGTGGTCACTCTATCTTTGTAAATAATTTCTACCTCAAATTAATTGCCTTTTGACTTAGGTAAGGTTATAGGGACAGGTGAAAATCTCATTAGTATAAAGTAACAAGGGGAGGGAAGTTCTGTAGTCAAGACTAATTATTTAAAATTTTCTAACCTGGGTACCTTGGCACACACCTGTAATCCCAGAGACTTGTAAGGCTGAGGCAGGAGGATCACAAGATCACAAGATCAAGGCCAATCTCAGCAATTTAGCAAGGCCTTAAGTAATTTAGCAAGACCCTGTCTCAAAATAAAAAGGGCTGGGGATGTCACTCAGTATAGAGCATCCCTGGATTCTATCCTCAATACCAAAATAAAAATATAATACTTACTGTCTTTTTTTGAAATTTCATAAGTTTTTTTAAAAACCCATTCTTCTCTGAATAGCAGCTTCAGATTGTTATATACAAAAATGTTAATTCCTTACAAATTTTCTTTCTTTGTAGACCATACCCTTTTGTTTTATTCTACTCAAAATTTCATGGGCTAGAAATGTGTGTTGACGCAAGAACTTTTGGGAATGAGGCTCGATTCATCAGGCGTTCTTGTACACCCAATGCAGAAGTAAGCTTACTGACATCTTTTGGGAAGTGTTGTGTGGAATTTGAGCATTAAGTACAAAAGTCTAATAGTTTAGAATACTTCAATTCTTTGCTCAGCGTCTTCCTGTTGTAAAAATTTAGGTGATAACAAATTATACATTGAAGAAATTGTGATGTTTCTTATAAGAGGGAATATTGGACTTTTTAAATCCTAGAAAGTCTATTTAATGGGTAAATATGCTATGATTTTTATCACGTTAGATGATAAAGCTAAAATAGATTGTATGTTACTATAAAATTTTTAATGCTCTATTTTAGGGTGGAATATAAAATACTTTTGTTTTCTATATGCCAAAATACACATTTTTAATTTTATAATTACATTTTTAGCTGGAACATTATAAGTTTTGGAGCCAGTCTTGCCTTCTCTGTGGCTTATTAGTTTTGCAACTTTACCCATGCCATATATTTATCTATCAAAATGTATTATTAAGGAATAAAAGTATTGTGCAAATTATCTAGAACAGTGTGTGTCACACAGTGTTAGCTGTACCACTATTGCAATTCCTCAAAACTAAAATGCTATCACTTGTAAGACTACCAATTTCAGACATGCTAAAAAGAGAAAAAAATATGCATTAGAAAATAGTTATAGTTTTATTTTGTTTTGGATGCCACGTGGTAGTCTGTAGGGTAGGCGGATTGGTTGAAGGCATTGATATACTTTTGAAAAATCTTCCCAGTTGGTAACCAATGATCAATAAGTCTTAATAATTAATGGTACTTTCCCAAGTTGTGATTATAATGTACTTTTACTAATAGCTTTGTAACTTGCAGGAGAAGGTGCTTTTAAAGATAGAAAATGGTTTACAGATGTGTTAAATTATTCTTTTAACAGGTGAGGCATGAAATTGAAGATGGAACCATACATCTTTACATTTATTCTATACAAAGTATTCCAAAGGGTACTGAAATTACTATCGCCTTTGATTTTGATTATGGGAATTGGTAAGTTCAAGTTTGTAAATAAATTATCTGTTGCTTCAAAGTAGTTCTTTAATGTTCATGTAATAATTTAGGTATTATTATTGCTTTTATAACTTATTTATCATGAGGCAGTTAAAAAGTACTTGAAAATAAGCATTTTGGTATTAGCTTTCATTATTGCTGTTTAAACATTTACAATGTATAATTACTAATGCTAATTTCAGCAATATGCTATTGACTTTATTAGGTTAGAATTTTTTTCTTCACTTTCTTGTATTTTAGGGGGTACGATTTTAGTTTTACAATTTACTTGGTTAAGCGGATGAATAATTTCTAATTTGCCTCTCAAGACAAAAAAAAATTGCATCAAATTTTCTTTGTGGTGTAAATTGAAAGGGTTTGTAGAAGAACCTCTAAGAAGCATGTTCTGAAACACTAAGAAAGAAACGTGCTCTGAATATAAAAACTTTAAATTTAAAAATTTTAATATACAAATATGAATACAAATCCATGTACTTCACAGACTAATAGAACACTATCCATTGAAGCCTCTTAGATTTAGCAGATTGTATCACCCTTCTTTACATTTCTTTAACATTTTGTGGTTTTTATGTCATCAAATAGTATTTAGAATTTTGTGTTATCTTTAAATTTTATGTTCATTGTAACCTACTACTTTCTTCTGCATTCTATCTTTTCTCTTTCATTACATGAGATAAAACTACAGTGTTGTATGTAGGCTCTAATTCATTTATTTTTACTGCTAATGGCTTTTCTCTCTTCCATTACTGATGGATCTTTTTATTTATCACAATATGTTTCTGTGGCTTTTTGAACATGTATGTGTTTGTACATGTTCTCTGTGGTAGGGATAATGCACAGAATGTTTTAGAATGTGCAGTTTTTAACCAAAAGTGAATTAGTGAATTGCTTTCCAAAGAAACTTTTTTAAAAATACTTTCCTAAGCAGTTTAGTTCCTTTCTAATTCTTTAGTATTAGGACTTTAAAAATTTTTTACTAATCCATGTGAAATGGTATCTTTACATTTTTATTGACCATTTTCTTTGATTATTTGTGACCAAATATCTTTTTCTTTCATTCTTTTTTTTTTTCCTTTCCCTTTTCTGTTTTGGTGGTGCTGGGGATTTAACTCGGTGTCTTGTGCATACTAAGCACATACTCTTCTACTGAGCTCTACCCAGCTCCCAACTATCTTCTTATGTGTTACCATTTGGACTTCCTCTTGCTAATTACCTAATCATATCATCTGACCCTTTCTCTGCTGTGCAGTCTTTTTCTGTGTTCTTTATATTATTCTGTAGCCTTTTGGGTTATAAGCATCTCAGTTCATTTTTCTGTATTTTTAAAAAACTGTGTTATGTGCTTTTTAAATGCAGATTTTTAAACATTGTCCATTATGTTTTCTCTCAATGTGAAATTCCTTTTCCTTCAGTTTTCATCTCTAATAATTATTTTAAACAGACTTATCATAATAATTTCAGCTTTTCTTTTTTAAGTCCTTTCTACCCCTAGAAGGTGGAAAATTTAACATAAAGACTCTTTCCGTATCAATTTGGGAGATTGTACATCTCATTGAGATTAAGAATACAAATTTTCCATAATCTGTCTGTTTTCAAATCCTAGCCTGGTTATTTATGATCTTAGACCAGTGTGTTCAGCTCTCTGTGCACCATTATCTCAAGTATGAGAATAATAATTCTCTCCTAACAGGAATGTTTGAAGATTTAATGAGCTAACACATGTAAACAAACCATTTAAAACAGTTTCTGGCACAAAGTAACTGCTTGATTAACATATCTGGTTGGGCATGTTATAATCCCCATAATTTAGGAATTTGAGGCATGAGGATCTCAAGTTCAAGATCAGCCGCAGCAATTTAGCAAGACTATATCTCAAAATTAAAAAACCAAAACAAAAACCCAGGCTGAGGATGTAGCTTAGTAGTGACAGAGTACCCCTGGATTCAATCCCCAGTACCCGTAGGAAAAAAATATACATACATATGTAAATAAGTAAATAAAAGCTGATGCTATCATTAAAGAAACCTGGTTATTGAAATAATTCTTTAGAGTATACAAACTAGTTAAGTTTTAGTGTTTTTATACCTGGCATGTTTTTTATTTAGGTCAAATTTCAAGTCAGTATTTTATAACACTCTGGGATTACTGAAGAAATTATGGGTTTTACTTTAATGTTAATTTGTATAATTAACAGTATCATTTTACTT